GGGAGCTGGGGTGGGGGCGAGGATGTGGCTTGTTCTCCTCAAGCTGAGGCCTCTGTGGGAGCAGTTTTGCTCCTGTCCCCAGGGAACCCACACTGGCTGTCCCCACTGTGTCAGGCTGAGGGCTGAGGGGAGGCGGGGTTCCTGCAGGGACTGAGGGCAGGGGCTCCCCATACCCTTCTGCTGGGTTTCCATCCTGTCAGGGTCTTTGGATGTTGGGTGAGCACAGAGGGTGGGGGCTCAGGGAAGGGGACGGAAGGGGCCGGGTCCACCTTGGCATTTCCCGGCCATCACCTCCTTTCACTTGAGAGACCCCCCCCCCCCTCATCCAGGGAAGATAAATGGCCCCGTTGGGAGCGTGAGCATGCTCTGAAAATGGAAGATGGGGTGGGAAGAGGGAGGCTGTTGAAGCCTGTGAGCCTCTGTGTCTGGGGGGCCCTGTGGTCCCCTTCCCCTACGTCATTTCTGAACTGGGAGTGAGCGGACATCAGGTAGGGGGAGCACTTGAAGCTCATCCCTTTTGCACAGTGAGCAGTCGGCCCCCTCCCCATACAGGGGTCCCTCTGTTTTCTCTTGCTCTGCTGGAATCTCCTGGGATTGGTTTCTGTCTGGGGCCTGGCAGCTGGCTCCTGGTATGTGGGGGTTCGTATTTCAGTGTTGTGTGGGCTCCTGGGACGTGAATTCAGAGCCTCCAGGCGGGACGGTTGCTACGATCCAGGCTCTATCCAGGCTCCTGGCTTCAGTGTGGGGCTTGTGTGGGAGGAAGGCGGGCAGGGGCCCATCTGCGGTGTGGGGTGACTGGGCTGTGCCCTGGGGTCCAGGGTTGCACAGCCAGCCATATGGCACTGTCCCCAGGACACGGAGCAACGCGTTTTGAGGTTATTTGGAGAAGTGGCTAGCAGCTGATATTACCACCCTCCCCTCCTGAGAAGATGGCAAACTGGGTCAGGGAAAGAAGGGTTGGCATTGTCAACAACCCGGGGAGGGGTTTGAACTGGAGGGGCTGGCCCCCTCCGCCAGCGAGAGGCATCTGTGGCTGGCTCACCCCAGAGCACATCTGTGAAGACTCGGACCCAGCCACACCCCAGTGTGGGCGTGGGCGTGGAAAACCTTCCCCGAGTGAGGCTGTGGGCACACTGGGCTGAGAACTACAAGTCAAAAGCAAGGGCAGCAACCCGTCAGCGGTTCCCGGCACTGTGGCTTCCAGCCTCACTTGCTGGGCTGCATGCGTGGTTGGCGTCTGGGAGAGGACAGCCTGTGGTGACTGCCGTGAGCAGAGGGCCAGAGCTGAGAGGCTTTGTCTGCTCACATCCCCTCCTCTGAGCTTCTGGAATGAAGGTTGAAGTTTCCATTGGAGCAGGATTCTCAAATGTTAGCAAGCACCCGAGCCCTTGGCTGAAAAGAATCTCTGACTGAGCAGGTCTAGGGGGCCCAGAGTTTGCATTTCTCAGCTCCCAGGGGTGCGGCTGCTGCTGCCAGGGACCCACTTTGAGAACCTGTGGGCTAGCGCAGGCTCACAAGGCGCCGAAGCGTCTCTGGGGGAAGCCCTCTCTCCTCTCAGTCGCTGGTTGAGGGTCAGAAGTGAAGTGTGGTGAGAACAGAGCTCACCCCCCAGCTGGGCCTGTCTCTGGAGTGTCCACCCCTCCCTGTGCCCGCAGCCACCGGCAGCAGCTTCCACAGGTGGCCGGTACTTCCCAGGCCTGCTGGAGGGTTGGGGCCTCTGTGGTTCTGAGATCCCAGCGAGAGACTGGACTGGCTGTCCTGGTCTGTCACGGAGGAAACGGAGTGGGCTGACACCAACTTCTAGAAAGTTCTGCCCTTGATTTCTCTGGTTCTTTTTGGATTGTCATTTACATTTTGTGACCCGTGTTCCCCCAGCTCTGCTTTCTCCTTCTGCCCATTTGAAAAGCTGCCTGGTCTTGTTAGGCAGCCTGCTCTGGGGCTGTGTAGGCTGCGGGCTGGGTTCCTGTGCCGGGGGGTGGGGGTGGGAGGGCTGGGGGGAGTTTAGCACACTCCTCCGTCCCTACCTGCTGTCATTACTGTCCCTCCCTCTCCCATGGCCCCTCTTTCTGTGTCTTCCCTTCTATCCCCACCCCTCCCCCTGTACCTTCTCCATCGTGGGCAACCCCTTTAACATGTTTGCTATGTGACCTTGAACTTCAGATATTGGTGCCGTTACATACGGGGCTCTGATGAATATGAGCCTTGTTCTTCTCCAGACCTCACCCTGATCCCGCCTTTTCTCACGTGCCCCGTGCTTTGCAGTCCGTCTTGCTGCGTGTGTACTTCTGGTTCCTAACTTCTAACCGCTGCCTAATACGCCATCATGTCCATGAGCCACTGGGCGCCTGTCTGTTCCCCAGGGAGGGCCCCAGGCTGGCGACACAAACAGAGCCGCCACAGACGTCCTCACACGTGTCCCTGTGGTCCTGCGTGAGCCTCGCTCGGGTGCCCCTCAGAAGGGGATTGCTGGGTTTCGGGGTGTGTCTGCTGCATCTGAGCCAGGCTTTCTGGCTGTACCCCTTTCCCCACGCCCTCGCCAGCACGGAGCACACCCGACTTTTTAATGTGTGTGATATCCTCCGGCCCCCTGAGATCCATACTCCCTTTCTCCCTGAGACGTTGAGAGAGGGGTTTACAAGACTCTGCAATTCCAAACCAGCAGCTGAGCGGGAGGCAGTGTGGAGGGGCGGGTCTCCAGGTGACAGGGCGGCAGCCCTCCAGGAGCACGGCCTGCTTGTGTGTCAGGGCCCCTGGTAATAGGCCCTCGTCTTTGCAAATCAGATGCGGTTTTGTGGGTCAGTTTGGGGCATTTGGCCCAGTCTCACAGCAACAGAGTTTCAAATTAACCCCTTGATTTCTGAAGCTCTGCTCTCAGTCACCAAGAACCACTGAGAAGACTTGATGAAGGAAACATTTCTCATACAATTATCTGTTACTGTGTCAGTCCTCCCAGCATTAAGCTCCTGGAAGGCAGCGGTTGGAATTTATTTATTTCCGTATGCTCAGTGACAAAGGCAGTGCATTCACTTATTCACTCAACAAACACCTGAACACTTATGAAATACTGAGTAGCATTTTAGGTGCCGGACACAGAACTGCAAACAGGCTGGATGAGGTCCCTGTTCTCATGGGATTGTCGTGTGTGTGTGTGTGTGTGTGTGTGTGTGTGTGTGTGAGACAGGCAGGTGAATGCATAACATATAAGACAGGACCAAACTGAGGTCATGCCACGCAGAGGGTTACTACAGTCTGATTGTCACGTCCTGCATGGCAAGGGCAAATGGGACACGAGAGGGGCGACAAGATTGAATAAAGAGACAGAGACAGAAGTAAGATTTAAGTGCGAGACCAAGGGCCTCAGCCTTCAGAAAGTTAGACTGAGCCACCGAATCGGGTCGAAACATGGTTTTTATTGATAATTTTTGAGGAAGTAAACTGCTATGCTGTGAGTCATTAATCGTGTAATCTTGTGTGCCTTAAGGCCTTTTCCGTTGACCTTTTACCCATTGTACTCCAGCAAATGCTATGCCTTCGTACTCCACCACATTGCCCCAGGACATAATTACA